AAAAAAAAAAAAAAGGTCGAGAATGGAGATAGTTGACATGTTGTGGGGTTGTTAACCAATGTCATAAAACAATATGTGTACTACTGTTTCATGAGAAACTGTTTGTTCTGTAGGCCTTCACCTGGAGTACAATAAAAAAAATAAAAAAAAAAACAGTCCCAGGGTCAAGGCCTAATAAGGGTGTATGAAAGGCAAACAATGTCAACCCACATGGGCTAGATTGAGAGGCTGGCTCTAATTCTTTACTTCTGCATGTACTCCTGTGACTTTACAGGCAGAGATGGGGTGTACTGCACCACCTCTTGACTGTGGCCTTGATCATTGACATTCTCTGGGCAAAGGAATGTGGGCGGAAGTGACTGTGCCCGTTCTGAGCCTAGGCCTGGAGAGACACTGTGTGCTTCTGCTCACTGACTTGTGTTTCTGCCATCACGGTGAGAAGAGCTGCTCCCTGGTACTTGCCCCTCAGCCTCAGCCCCAGAATGAACACATGTGGAGCAGACCTGGGCCCAGCCTGCAGCAAGAAGCTGAGCTCAGCAGGACCCACGGTCTGAAGCAGAGCCACCCAGCCAGACCCAGCCTCCATCAGTCAAGCCCACAGAGCGAGTCCAGCTGACATCAACAGAGCTGCCCCAGCAGCCTTCATGCACTTGAGAAATAAATGCTTATTGTTTTACGCCCCTGAGATCTTATGGTTGTTTGTTTTGCAGCATTATTATGGCCGTAGCTAACTGATTCCAGTTCCAGTTGCTGTTGAGTCAACTCTGACTTATGGCAACCCCATGTGTATCACTGTAGAACTGTGCTCCATAGGATTTTCAATGTCTGATTTTTGGAAGTAGATCACCAGGCCTTTCTTCCAAGACGTCTTGGGTGGACTCAAACCTCCAAACTTTTAGTTAGCAGTGGAGCACATTAACACTTTGCACCACCCAGGGACCGAGCTAACTGATTTACAAAAACAAAAAAAAGTTGTCGTCGAATCGAATCCGGCTCATGGTGACCCCATGCATGTCAGAGTAGAACTGTGCTCCATAGGGTTCTCAATGGTTGATTATTTTGGAAGTAGATCACCAGGCCTTTCTTCCAAGGTGCTTCTGGGTGGACTCGAACCTCCAATCACCCAGGAACTGAGCTAAATTATACACCCTGGGACATAATAATGATAAAGTCAAACAGGTCTGAAATGAATGAGTTTTGCTCTATGGTGCTCAGAAAAGGGCCTGTGGACTGAAATGGTTTGGGAGGGATTCTTGGAGCGAAAGTGTCTGCGCAGAAAGAAAAGCATGTTTGCAACAAGCCACAGATGGATCACAAGGAAGCCAAGGCTGAGGAAGGCAAGGGGAGAGTGGGAAGTCAGCCCCTCAGGTATCCTAATTTCACTGACCAACAGGCCCAGATATGCTCTAGATGACTAATCCCCCACTAAGATAACTGGGATCTCAGTTCCCGTGCCCGGCTGCCAGGCCCCACAGAGACCCGTTGGCCTTGGCAGTGGACTGCCTAACTGCCCCAGCTCACCACACACAGGGATGCTGCACTCTTCCCTCCGCACGGTAGGGTCTGTAGTATAGCACCAGGGACCTGTAGTGCTGTTATCTGGGTTGCGGCAGAAATTCTCCTTCAGGTCGGCCTCAGGGTGGGTGGTGATTCTGAAATAGGAAACACCCAGCTTGGGGCTGCAGCAGGAGGCCATGCCCCCAGTGTTTCCTTGCTCCCTGTCTCAGCCTGCTGATGGCAGGCTTGCCCATCACTCACTCAGGCTTATGTGGGTAGCGACTCCTCCAGAGCTGACACTCGATGCCTGACCGGGTGAAGCTCACGTTCCCACGGTAGTTCATGCCCAGACCCTCAGCGCAGTTCCCTGCAGAGGCACCAGCTCAGGTCAGCATTGGGATCCTGAGGATTTGTCCCTCTCTCTCCCAGCAAAGTTCTGTCCACCCCCTCCAAGCTCTCTCAGAACCACAACGCTTGACCAGCATTTACTTAGCACCTCCGGTGCACCCAGAAATTCTCCAGTCAGTTAACAAAAGTCACCAAATAGTCAGTGAGCACCGACCATGTGCCAGGCACCATGCCAGGTACTGAGGACATAGTGATGAATAAAAGTCACAGTCAAAGTTTCTGCATCTTTAAATTCAGTGGCTCCTCATGTCTGATAGGATGAAAAGTGAACGAGGTTCTTCTACGACCTGGCCCTCATCATTTATCCTGGTGTCTTGGCTCCTAACTCCTGAGCACACGAGGCTCACTTATATCTCAGGGCCTTTGCACCTGCTGTTTACTCTGCCTAGAATGCAGAGTTCATCAATGCATTCCACAAAGCCAGGTAAACTACTTCCTCTGGGAGCTGTCCTCAATTCTCCCAGCAAACTGGAAGCCCCTCCTGTGTTCTCTTGGCACTTTGAACAGAACTTTTCTAACAATCACCTTGACGATTTTTCTTTTTGCTTCCTTATGAGATTGTGTACTCCTTGAAGGCAAAGACTCTATCTGATCTCTTAGACTCTCCAGCACCCAACACAGTGTCTGGCACATAGCAGGGGCCTAGTTAAATGTTTGTTGAATGAGTTATTTAACTAATGAAAGCATGGCCAGTCGTTAAAGAGTTCCATGTAGTGGGTACCATTGTCATACTGAAACCAATCAAAAACCCGTCGCTGTTGAGTCGATTCCAACTCATAGCAACCCTATAGGACAGAGCAGAACTGCTCCATAGGGTTTCCAAGGAGTGGCTGGTGGATTCAAACTGCCGACCTTTTGGTTAGTAGCTGTAGCTCTTAATCACTGTGCCATCAGGGCTCCTGTCATACTAAAGGTATATGGAGGAGACAGAAGGCTCCCTGAAGGCTCAGTGAATGGGGTGGCATTTGAGTCAGCTCTTGGAGGATAGAGACACTTGCAGTAGGCTGTGATGAGTGCTCCAGGAGAAAGTGACAATGTGAGCAAGGGCCAGGAAGGAGAAACATCTTGATTTGCATCAAGAAATTCTTGCTGTCAGAGTAGCTGGGGGTTTGGGTTTATGATTGATGCGGCAAAAGGTGATGCTGGAAGGGAAGGTTCAGGCCAGAACACGCAAAGCTCACCACACTTCCTGTGGGCAATGGGGAGCCACTAAGGGATTTGGAGAACGAGTGTGATAACATATGAGCTGTGCTCTGGAAACAGCTGGCAAGACTGGGGTGAGCAGAGGTTCGGGTCAGGCAAATGTGAATGAGGCCTTAAACATTAATTCATCACGTATTCATTCATTTGTTCCTCCAACATTAAACATCTTACAGACTGCTGAACACAGAGCCAGGGGCTGAAGATGCAGAGACACAGCCCAGACCAGGGACAGGAAGGCAATGTCAATGTTAGAGGCTGCCCTCACTAGGCCATATCCACTAAACCAGCCCTACCCTCCTCCTCTTCCAGGCTCAGGCCCTGATCTCTTGGGTCTGCTTCCCACTCACATCCCACGCCCCTGACTCAGTGGTTCCTTACCTTCCAGACATTCAATGAGCTTTTCTCGAGTGTTCATCGCCGGCTTACAAGCTGCAAAAGACCCAGAAACACCTTTGAAATCAGAGTAGGGACAGGATGGACTGGAATAAAGGGTGGGTGGGGTGATACTCAGAAGCAGAGAGGTAGACAGACAGGTGGATGGAAGGAAAGAGGTGCGAGTGGGTGAATGGATGGATGATTGATGGACCAGATATTTCTGTGAGGTAGAACATTCCCTAGCTGGAGTCCCCAGGCCTCCCGTCCAGGAGAAAACCCTTCTCAATGCTCACCTGTGTACTTGACCCAGAAAGCATCCTGAAAAACAAGGACTGCAGTGAGGCTGAGCCAGAAGCCTTTGATTTCCTTTTTTTTTTTTTTTCCCCTAGTAAACTTATGCCTTCTCCAATGACTTTCTCTTCCCTCACCTCAGTCACACAGGGCCAGGCTCTGGGGAGGTTTGTGGCCAAAAGCCCAAGCCCATTAAAGAGAAGGGTATTTGAGGAGAAGGGAGTCCCCCCATTATCATGACTGAAAAGGGGTCCCCAGGGCTGGGGTAGGTGAGAGGAGAGGCATGGGTTCTTCGTAGTGGGCCCTGGCAGACCCCCAAGAAAGGGAAAGGCTGCCAGAGTTCCAGAAACGCTGAGGCCTAAGTCCAGGGCTCCTGGCCTCACCCGAGTCCATAGCCCAAGGGTGGCACAGAAAGGCTGAAACTGAAAAGATCACATGGGTCAGGGAAAGGGACTGCAGAGATCCCAATGCAGACAGCTGTCTGGTGATTGAGGAGGCCTCTGGATGTCAGGGAGCCTCACCAGACCCTGGAAACTCGGCACAGCCGAGGTATAGGGACCTCCAAGAATGGCTGAGGTTGATCACCTTGCCAGCCCAGTGGAATGGGGATCAGAATTGAAGGCAAGCTAACTTAGCAACAGTTAACAAGTTGTGATGTTCCTGGTCCTCACCGTGTCAGTGGAAGACTCCAGGGCCTCGAAAGCCTCCTCGTAGCTGCACTGCTCCTCCAAGCACTCTCGCTCCAGGTTACCCTTGCGCACCTCCTCCAGGAAGCCGCTGTTGGCACGGCGGACCCGCTGGAGCAGCGACAGTGCTTGCTGAGGGGGCAGGAACACTGCGGTAGGAGGGTCGTGAGACAGCAGCCTCAGAGAGCCAGGCCGCCTTGGCCATAGCGAGGCCAGGAAGTAAGCCCTGCCCGCCATGCTGGCTTCCAAAATGGCGTGCCCGGCATGTTGGTGGAACTCGGAGGACGGCCAAATGTAGCCCACCAGCTCCCCGTTTTACACTGGCCACCTCCAGCCCACCCCCCATATTGCAAGAGAGAAGCAGCCAGCGTCCTCCAGGCCTGAGGACCCAGCTGCTTCCCTAAGCTGGATACGCTGGGCTGAGACCCTCCTGGGGGCCTGCCCTGTGTTCTCTGTCAAGCCAGGAGACCCCAACCATGGCCCATGGCCCAGTCTTCCAGCCTGTCCCAGCTTCCAAGCCCCACCTTACCATGCTGGCTGTGCACAAGGCTGAACAGGGCAGCCAGGGCCAGGCAGCCAGGCAGCCACAGGCCTCGGACGTGCGCCATAGTGAGTCGGCTCTGGGTACTCTGAAGACTCATCCTGATCCCTCTGGGTTAATGTTGAACTAGCATGAAGAAATCGGCCGAGAGGGAGCGGTCATTGGGTCAGGGCTGTGGGGACAAGCAGATAGTTTGCCTGCCCACCCCGCCATCTGCTGGAAAGGTCCTTCTAGGACCAGCGATGGACCATCTGAGAGGAAGCCACAAAGGAAAGGTAAGTGGAACTACCATCCCCCACTCCGCCTCTCCTTGGGGCATGAGGTGAACTTGGGCCAGTGGGGTCTCAAGATCTTCCTGAGGTTCTGCCCAATTCTAACACATGGTGATGATTGCTTTGGTCTCTATATGCCTTACTGTTTTTATCTGTAAAATGGGAATGGTAATAGAACTTGGTGTGAGAAGTAAAGATTATTAGAAATGTAATGGTCCCTAGGTGGTGCAAATGGTTTGCGCTTGGCTACTAACAAAAAGATTGGTAGTTCGAATCCACTCGGTTGCTCCCAGGAAGAAAGATCTGGCTATCTACTTCTGAAAGATCACAGTCATTGAAAACCCAGTGGAACACAGTTCTACTCTGACACACATGGGGTAGCCATAAGTCAGAACTGACTTGACAGCAACAGATTTGGTTTTTGGTAATAATTGGTAGATAAATGTATATAAACTGATGGGGAGTTTTGTGAAATCACAGTATGCAGATATCAGAAAATGGAGACAAGGGTGTGGCCAGGATGTGGCCAGACACAAGCTGTCTACCTCTCCCTAGGATGCGCTGGGGACAGGAGCAGCCAACATTGGCCCCGGCCTCTCAGCCACTGATGGAGGGTCCCATTTCTCCTTCTTCCTATCTGGAGTGCTGTGGAGATGTGTTTGTGTGTGGTGGTTACCTGGGAGGAGCAGGTCCAGGGCCTCTTGGGCCTTTGGTCTATTTTCTCTCATCTCCCAGGACCTGCCGCCCGCGCCGAACAGAGGCCAGCCCAAATCCACGGGTCTCTGGGGCAGGGCCCCTCCCTCTCTCCCTGACTGTCTTACCTGGTCCAAGCCTAGAGTGGCTGTCAGTCCTACACTGCCCCTGGGCCCAACCCTGCTCCCTGTTCCTCCCCCATTTCCTGTTTGCACTCTGCAAGGTAAATATTAGTACTGGGTCTAATTAGGACAGAGGGACAAAGAGCAGGAACACAGGGAAGCACAGGGCCTTGCCTTGCCTGTTCTTCAGGCCTGGCTGTTTGGGGTCTGGACTGCGGTCATGTTCATCTGGGAAGATCACGGGGAGAAGCGGGGAGGGGCCTGTTGCAGTGCCGGGAAGAGAGAGGGTTGGCAGAGCCCTGGGGACCAGGACTCCCACAAATCAGCTTAATTCCTAGGTGGCCAAAGCTCCTATATTTTGTGTATGTGTATATATATTTATGTATATATATGCGTGTGTGTGTGTATAAATATATAATATATGGAGCCCTGGTGGCACAATGGTTAAGCGCTCAGCTGCTAACGAAAAGGTGGCTGTTTGAACCTGCCTAGTGGCTCTGCGGAGAAAGACCTGGAGATCTGCTTCTGTAAAGATTACAGCCTAGAAAACCCTATGGGGCAGTTCTACTCTGTCACATGGGGCCACTATGAGTCCAAAATTGACTCAACAGCACATAACAATAACATTGTGTGTGTATATATATATACACATACATATATACATTTCAATTGAGACATAATTTACATACAATAATTTCACAAATTATAAGTATAATATCTCATATTTTTATACATACACGCATGTAACCAACACCCAGATCAAGACAAAGAATATTCCCAGCCCCAAAACAAGCTCCTTCATGTTGTCTGTCAGTCAGTACCTCCTAAGATAACTATTATTCCAACCACTATCACCATAAATAAGTTTTGCCTGTATTTGAACTTCGTGTAAATGGAAACCTACAGTATATACTCATTGCATCTAGCTTTTTTTGCTCAGCATATTTCTGAGCTTCATTCATGTTGTGTGGATCAATAGCTCATTCCTTCACTGCATGAAGTTGTTTTCATTTTACTCATTTTATTTATCCATTCACTTGTTGATGGACATTTGGATTAGTTTCCAGTTTTGAACTATTATGAATGGTGCTGCTATGAATATTCTTGTACAAGCCTTTTGGTGTATATAAGCACTTATTTATTTTGAGTATATGCTCAGGAGCAGATTTGCTGGGTCATAAAGTAGGTATATATTTTGCTTAAGTAGCTGTGACAAATAGTTTTCCCAAGTGGCTGTACTAGCTTACCCTCCCACCAACAATGTTTAAAAGTTCCAGTTGCTTCATATCCTTGCCAACACTCTATGTTAGTCTGTCCATTTAATACTAACCATTCTGATGGCTGTCTCAGCATATCTCACTTGGATTTCAATTTGTATTCCCTAGTGACAAATGATATTGACCCCACTCTTTTTTTTTTGGGAGTGGAATGGTGAAAAGATTTTATATCATTAATTTATTGAAAAATTAAATATTGGGTGAGAAAGGGAGCAGGGCTCCTGAGAAGCAGAGAGATGTATGGCTTCATCCTTCCTGCCTTGAGACAGGTGATCCTTGGATGACCTCCTTTCCCTGATGATCAGCTTGGGCCAGTGCTGAGTCAACCTGTAGAGGGAGAAGAGGCAAGAGGTGGGGGTGGTGACAGGGAGAAGGACAAAACACAACACATGTGCACCTCTTCTATTGAGGGCCTGAGGGGGGAACTAGGCACAGTTCCCTATCAAATGACCAGTGTAGCCCCAGGATGCCTAACAGAGCTGGGCAGACACCACTGAGCCATCACATAAGCTGAGGTAGGAGCTGGAAAACAACAGGACCTTTCAGGCCTCACACAGGCTCCAAGAAACAGGGTTGGCTGACTGAAAACTAATCTTAGCAACTTCCTCAGGCTTTGGATGCTGTGGTGTTTCTCTCCACAGATTGCGACCATATCCTGGCCCTCCTCCTCCTGGACAGACCCAGAATTATGCATTACCAAGAAGTTATTCAGATTAGGTGGACAGCTGGGTTAATGTCAATGGCAAAATGGGAGACATGGGGCTGCTTACAACATTATGACAAATACTGTGAAGAAGCCACAAAACCACCCAGATTTGAATCTGGCTTTGCTTTTATTGGTTGTGTGATCTTGGCATGTGACTTACCCTCTTTGAAACTTAGTATTCTCATCCACAAAACGGGGATCACAACATCTATTTTGCAAGACAGCATAAGGATGAAGCAAGAATGTATGTTCTTCCTGCCTCTCTCACCTCCACTCCTCCTCAAAGCAATCCACTCTGGCCTTCGACAGCTCTCACTTGGCTCACCAGTGGCTTCTATACATTTCACCCCCTCCACGGCAACAGACACTGTTGACCACTTCCTCCTTGTTGAAACACTCTCCCTTTAGCTTCTGTGATTCAGACTTCGCAGGTTTTTCTATTTTTTGGATGCTGATTTTTAGTCTCCTTTAACAAGTCGTCCTCCTCTTGTCAAACCTGAAGGGTTGGGCTACCTCAGTGCTTGGTCCTGGGCCCTCCTCTCTTCTCTCTGTACTTTCCCCAACTCCCACAGCTTCAGTGACCACCCATTGGCCAGTAAGTCCTGTGACTCTCCCTCTAACCCAGGCCTTTCTCCACAGGTTTGTAACTATTTACAACTCCTCACTTGGGATCCATCCCACAGACACTTAAAACAGAAATCATAATTGTCCCGGATCCCACCACAGTGTTACCTACCTTATTACCATTTGGTTGCCTAAGTCAGAAACCAGGAGTCAGAGCTCTCTCCCTCCCTGTCGTTGAATCCCTCACTTCTACCTTCCAGAGGACTTATCCATCAAAAGGGGGAAGGAGGTCTACATTGCCCCCTCTGTCTCTACCTCCTTCCACACTCTGCCTCAGTCACTCTGCTCCTTGCTCAGACACACAGGGACTTCGTCCTTACTGGTCTGTCTGTCTGGAATCCAGCTCCTCCCTTAGAGAGCATCACGGTTCACTCCCTCCATTATTCAGGTCTCTGCTCAAGTCATGTTACTAGAGGTCTTCCCTGACCACCCTCTATAAAAGCACATCCCCTATCCTAACCCCTCCCCCTGAATTACTCTTCTTCACTGCATTTATCATCACCTAACATATATTTGGAGCCATCATCTGACATATCTGGAGCCCTGATGGTGCAGTGGCTGAGAGCTATGGCTGCTAACCAAAAGGTCGGCAGTTTGAATCCACGAACTGCTCCTTGGAAACCCTATGGGGCAGTTCTACTCTGTCCTATAGGGTGGCTGAATCAAAATTGACTCAATGGCAGTGGGTTTGGTTTGGTTTTTCTGACATGTATTTGTTTATTGTCTGTCTTCCCCCACTCGAATACAAGCTCCTTGAAAGCAGAGACTTTATTATCACTGCTGTCTCCCTAGCAACTAGAACAGTACCTGGCACACTGGAGGTGCTCAGTAAAGATTTGTTGGATGAATGATCCCATTTCTCTCCATGTCCACTGCTACCACCCTATTCCAAGTCACCTCAGCAACACCCTACTTGATTTCCCCACAATTACACCTTGCTCTCCCAACCCAGTTATCTTTTCAAACACAAAACTGATCATGTCATTGCCCTTCTCAAAACCCTTCAGAGATACTCAGCATTTGAGAATGAAGTCCAAACTCCTGGCCCAAGGCCCTGTGTGATCTGGCTCCTGCTTCCCTCTCCCCTTCATTCTCTTTGCTCCAGCCGTGCTGCTCTTCTTAGCTGCTCAGACCCACCAGGCTCTCATCACAGGGCTTTTTCCCATGCCCCACCCTCCCCTCCTAACACCTGCTCATCCTTCAAGTCACAGCTGACACAAGGGGCAGTAGAGTGCAGAGGATAAGAGCCTTACACCACTGCTGGCCTGTGTGGGTTTGAATCTAAACTCTGCCACCTAGCAGCTTTGTGACTTTTGTGCCTTATCTGTAAAATAATGAGGATTATATAAACTCATGTACAGCACTGGCCCAGA